GTGTTCCTCATGAAGAGTGGCTGCTTGACAAATCCCTGTTCACGTGTGGTGTTTCTCACGATAACTTCGACTCGTCCATATATCTGACATGCGTTTGACTCGATCTGATGTTGTCTGGTCAGTTGATTGACTGATTGTTTGTCAGTTTGATTGTTCGATTAGTTTTGTCAGCTTGATGTTGGAATTTTGTTGGTTCGGTGTTGATCGGTGGTTGATGGTTGGTGAGGCAGTCGGAGAATGCACATGGCGACGTGGTTAAATTTCGGCATATGTGGGCGATTTCGAACGTGTGAGGTGATAGGCAGAAAGTGTGGAGAATGCGGAGTTATACCCCACTTTCTCCATTTATCCTGCTTTGTGAACCGAATGCAGCCCATGTTTCGTCCCACTTTTCACATGTTCACGAAACAATTCTCCGACTGGCGGAGTGAGTGCTTGGGAGTTGAGACGAGGAGTACTGCACAGATGTTGTACGTGTCTATACTGGCCTGTTTGTGACACACGGTTGATGTGGTGTGTGATTGACTGTCAGCCTGTTGAGTAATCGCAGTTAGATATCAGTGGAGGTTTCTTCCGATTGATGACAGTTGTCATGGCGAGTGTGTGTTGAATTCGATTGGTGGAAATTGTTGTGAGGATGCATTGGATAGGCGAGGAGGCAAGCATGCCGTCGGAGTGTGATGACCACGAGATTTCCACTCGACTGTCTTGGAGAAGAGTGTTGGTGAGCGTGAGACCAGTGGTTGTATGTGGGATTGAATGATGAAGAGGATGAGGGCGAGAATGAAGAATGAGGAAGTCGACAGAGAGAATGGGAATTCGAGTTGGTGTTTTGTGTGAATGAGTTATTTTTGATTATTGGTTTTGTGTTATTGTGCATTGTCTGGTGATTGTGTAGCTGGTTATTTAGTGTGAGTGTGAGTGTGTGTGTGTGTGTTTGGGGGGTGGGGGATGGGGTTAGTGTTTGAGTGTTGCAGCGTGTGGGAGTGTAAGTGGTCAAATGTACAGCGAGGTCGGCCGAGCAGAGTGGCGCAGTGGAAGCGTGCTGGGCCCATAACCCAGAGGTCCGTGGATCGAAACCACGCTCTGCTAACGGCTTTTGCGAATATCACTTCACACTAGCTCATCTGAGAGGAGAAATCTCTCCGCATTCTCACGCCACTTGCTCACCTCACGTGTCACGCAGTGTCTGTCTGACAGCTTGACGACACACGTGTGTGTGTCTTCAGCGGGGAGCACTGTTCGACGAGTTGAGACTCACTGCAGTCGGTGGGTTCGATGCTCAGCCATTTCAATGACTGACTTGTTCACCGTGTCTGTACATCCTGTCCAACTTCAGTTGACGCTAATAATCGGGATGGCGGTGGTAGGTGATCCGGTGATCAGGTGATCACTGCTTGTCCATGTCTGTCTCTCTCTCTGTGTGTGTGTGTGTATGTGGCCCTGTATGTCTCTGTGTGTTTCTTGGTGCGTGCCTTGTGTGTCCGTGCATGGGTGCGTGCGTGAGCGAATGCATGAGTGCGTTTATGTGCAGGTGAGTGTGAATATCGATGATGTTTTGTTGCAACACATGTTCTTCTTGTTGCAACCTTTATCATGCTCATAATCTGATGACTGGAGTCCTGAGTGTTATGAACAGAATGATCATTGTAATAATTTGCATTGTCGTGTTCCTCATGAAGAGTGGCTGCTTGACAAATCCCTGTTCCCGTGTGGTGTTTCTCACGATAACTTCGACTCGTCCATATATCTGACATGCGTTTGACTCGATCTGATGTTGTCTGGTCAGTTGATTGACTGATTGTTTGTCAGTTTGATTGTTCGATTAGTTTTGTCAGCTTGATGTTGGAATTTTGTTGGTTCGGTGTTGATCGGTGGTTGATGGTTGGTGAGGCAGTCGGAGAATGCACATGGCGACGTGGTTAAATTTCGGCATATGTGGGCGATTTCGAACGTGTGAGGTGATAGGCAGAAAGTGTGGAGAATGCGGAGTTATACCCCACTTTCTCCATTTATCCTGCTTTGTGAACCGAATGCAGCCCATGTTTCGTCCCACTTTTCACATGTTCACGAAACAATTCTCCGACTGGCGGAGTGAGTGCTTGGGAGTTGAGACGAGGAGTACTGCACAGATGTTGTACGTGTCTATACTGGCCTGTTTGTGACACACGGTTGATGTGGTGTGTGATTGACTGTCAGCCTGTTGAGTAATCGCAGTTAGATATCAGTGGAGGTTTCTTCCGATTGATGACAGTTGTCATGGCGAGTGTGTGTTGAATTCGATTGGTGGAAATTGTTGTGAGGATGCATTGGATAGGCGAGGAGGCAAGCATGCCGTCGGAGTGTGATGACCACGAGATTTCCACTCGACTGTCTTGGAGAAGAGTGTTGGTGAGCGTGAGACCAGTGGTTGTATGTGGGATTGAATGATGAAGAGGATGAGGACGAGAATGAAGAATGAGGAAGTCGACAGAGAGAATGGGAATTCGAGTTGGTGTTTTGTGTGAATGAGTTATTTTTGATTATTGGTTTTGTGTTATTGTGCATTGTCTGGTGATTGTGTAGCTGGTTATTTAGTGTGAGTGTGAGTGTGTGTGTGTGTGTTTGCGGGGTGGGGGATGGGGTTAGTGTTTGAGTGTTGCAGCGTGTGGGAGTGTAAGTGGTCAAATGTACAGCGAGGTCGGCCGAGCAGAGTGGCGCAGTGGAAGCGTGCTGGGCCCATAACCCAGAGGTCCGTGGATCGAAACCACGCTCTGCTAACGGCTTTTGCGAATATCACTTCACACTAGCTCATCTGAGAGGAGAAATCTCTCCGCATTCTCACGCCACTTGCTCACCTCACGTGTCACGCAGTGTCTGTCTGACAGCTTGACGACACACGTGTGTGTGTCTTCAGCGGGGAGCACTGTTCGACGAGTTGAGACTCACTGCAGTCGGTGGGTTCGATGCTCAGCCATTTCAATGACTGACTTGTTCACCGTGTCTGTACATCCTGTCCAACTTCAGTTGACGCTAATAATCGGGATGGCGGTGGTAGGTGATCCGGTGATCAGGTGATCACTGCTTGTCCATGTCTGTCTCTCTCTCTCTCTGTGTGTGTGTGTGTGTGGCACTGTATGTCTCTGTGTGTTTCTTGGTGCGTGCCTGTGTGTGTGTGTGTGCGTGGGTGCGTGCGTGAGCGAATGCATGAGTGCGTTTATGTGCAGGTGAGTGTGAATATCGATGATGTTTTGTTGCAACACATGTTCTTCTTGTTGCAACCTTTATCATGCTCATAATCTGATGACTGGAGTCCTGAGTGTTATGAACAGAATGATCATTGTGATAATTTGCATTGTCGTGTTCCTCATGAAGAGTGGCTGCTTGACAAATCCCTGTTCCCGTGTGGTGTTTGCAGTTTCGAGGTGACGGGAATGTCGTTCGTGATTCGTATAAGGGGTCTTCCGTTTTCTGCTAATGCAGAGGATATTATCAATTTTTTCAGCGATTCCAAAATCAAAGGCGGAAAGCGTGGAATTTACTTCCCCCAAGGACCTAATGGTCGTTCCAATGGAACAGCAGCTAAAATTGATGGAAATGCTTGCTGGTCTACAAATATCACGCTCTGCTGATTCATCTACAGCCAACGACAGCATTGGTAGTAGCATCTCAGAATTCGTTTATGATCCAGATGCGAACGTCACTTTTGACACTTGGTTTCGCAGATATGAAGACCTATTTCTAGTAGACTTTGCGGATAAAGATGATGCCTGGAAAGTACGGCTTCTACTTCGTAAATTGGGAGCAGATGAACTAGATAAATATTGCAACCTAATTCTCCCACAGAAGCCCAGCGAAAGATCATTCGATGAAACTGTCCATACCCTTCGTCATCAGTTTGGTGATCAGAGATCTTTATTCAACATTCGATATCATTGCATGAAACTTGTTCTGAACGAAAATGATGATATCCATACTCAGTTGGGTATAGTCAATCGCACGTGTGAACGTTTTAAATTGAAATCGCTCTCAGAAGACCAGTTCAAGGTATTGATTTTCATCTGTGGTTTGCAGTCTCCCAAATTTGCTGATATACGCACACGTCTATTAAATCGTCTGGAACAAGATCCACGAATGACTTTGAAAGACGTCGGTGAAGAATATCAGCGTTTAATCAACATTCACAACGATACCGTCTTGGTGCAGTCTGGCAGCCAAAATGCAGCAGAAGTGCATGCGGTGCATCCAGTACCGTCGACATCAACCGCACCGCTTCATCCTCAGCATAAACCACCATCAGCCTGCTGGCACTGTGGCTCCTGGCATTTTGCAAACGTGTGCCCATTCAAACAGCATAAATGCCGTCGATGTCATACTGTTGGTCACAAAGATGGCTACTGCAAACGCAACAACCAACCCAGATCTCGTAGTCGACCCAGACGGCGCAACAAGCTCAAGTCTTTGGGTGTTACTGCCACATATCATATTAGTACTCCAGCACCTCGCAAATATATCAATCTGACGATTAATACACGGCCGGCACGCCTACAAATCGACACAGCATCCGATATTACAATAATATCAAAGAAATTATGGCAGAAGTTGGGATGCCCTACCATAGAGAAGACAAATCAGATAGCAATTAGTGCATGTGGTGGAAAACTTCGATTGAATGGAGAAATTAAATGCAGCGTTGGGTTTCGTGATAGTCATTTCGTCGGCACATGCTACATCAATAATTCAAACCTTGACCTCTTGGGTTTAGACTGGTTCGAGAAGCTGCACCTGTCAGAGATTCCGTTAAGCAGTGTATGCCATAAGATCGAAAGTATTGAACCCTCAACAAGAAAGCCAGAAATCAGAGACAGATATATTAAACCTAAGCCCATTAGAAAGAATGATGTGATTAATGAAACTCCAACTTCGAATCGTCACAGTGAGTATGGCTGCGCCAAAAGTGCTTCGATGTCTGGTAGCAACAAAGCAGCAACTGTTAGCTCCAGTAAGAGAGGCTCTGCTCAAAAACTGAAAGTGATGTCTGTCATGGCAGCCAAAGACCCGCCACCGAGAGCATGGCCCACGTCGAAACCATGGTCCCGCCTACATGTGGATTTTGCTGGGCCGATAGGAGGTATATACTACTTGGTTCTCGTGGACTCTTACTCAAAATGGCCGGAGGTAGTACAAGTGACACCACCTTCTAGCAGCAGAACAGTATCAGTCCTGGAAAAGATCTTCGCATGTCACGGTATACCAGAAATCATCGTATCTGACAATGGCAGTCAGTTCACCTCACAAGCGTTCCAGGAATTTTGCAAGAGAAACGGTATACAACACGTGCGGTCGCCACCTTATCACCCTCAATCCAACGGTCAGGCAGAAAGATTTGTCGACACTTTCAAACGAGCGTTGTTGAAAGCAGGGGGAGGGGCGAAACCGGAAGCAATACAAAACTTTCTTTTTGTATACCGAACTACACCACTGGCAGAACAGAAGAAAAGCCCTGCAGAACTTCTAATGGGTCGAATGCTACGAACTCATCACCACTCCATGTTACCATCTTCGTCACATCAACGAAGAAATAGTGTGACGTATTACCGCAAGGGTGATGCTGTCTATGTGCGCGATTATCGACCGAGGAACAGAAAATGGGCCGAAGGCTTGATAGAACGTCGACATGGAACTCTAATGTACAAGGTTAAAGTTGGGGATGAATGGTGGATTAGACATAAAAATCAGATACGACGTCGATATACTACATCCCAAGAACCTAAATTGCCACTGGAATTACTACTGGAAACTTTAAAAATACCACCAGTCAAACCAGAAGCAAAACAAGAGATGCTACCCAGCCGACGATCCCAGCGCAAACGAACACAAACAGTTCCTTTCCAAATCGACCCCAAGGAAAAAAGATACTAAACTGATTGCAAGATTCTTTTTAAAAGGGGGAGGTAATATATACGCAATGGAATCATTAATATTCATTATTTATTTCACACACTAGCATAATCATTGATTTCACGCATCTGCGTGATTATTGATTTAAATTACTGAATTCCCAGGGTTTGTTAATATTTTTAAAATGTGACAATGATTTTTCTAACTGTATAAATACGGAGTTGTTGTTTAACATTTTCGACTGTTGTTTGAGACAGTAAAAGCTCTCATATCAACGTCCAGTCTTCTCTTTTATTTGTCTTGCGTGCCCGGCGGTATTATTGTTGTTGTTGTCGACGTGCCTGAGTGTTATGAACAGAATGATCATTGTAATAATTTGCATTGTCGTGTTCCTCATGAAGAGTGGCTGCTTGACAAATCCCTGTTCACGTGTGGTGTTTCTCACGATAACTTCGACTCGTCCATATATCTGACATGCGTTTGACTCGATCTGATGTTGTCTGGTCAGTTGATTGACTGATTGTTTGTCAGTTTGATTGTTCGATTAGTTTTGTCAGCTTGATGTTGGAATTTTGTTGGTTCGGTGTTGATCGGTGGTTGATGGTTGGTGAGGCATTCGGAGGATGCACATGGCGACGTGGTTAAATTTCGGCATATGTGGGTGATTTCGAACGTGTGAGGTGATAGGCAGAAAGTGTGGAGAATGCGGAGTTATACCCCACTTTCTCCATTTATCCTGCTTTGTGAACCGAATGCAGCCCATGTTTCGTCCCACTTTTCACATGTTCACGAAACAATTCTCCGACTGGCGGAGTGAGTGCTTGGGAGTTGAGACGAGGAGTACTGCACAGATGTTGTACGTGTCTATACTGGCCTGTTTGTGACACACGGTTGATGTGGTGTGTGATTGACTGTCAGCCTGTTGAGTAATCGCAGTTAGATATCAGTGGAGGTTTCTTCCGATTGATGACAGTTGTCATGGCGAGTGTGTGTTGAATTCGATTGGTGGAAATTGTTGTGAGGATGCATTGGATAGGCGAGGAGGCAAGCATGCCGTCGGAGTGTGATGACCACGAGATTTCCACTCGACTGTCTTGGAGAAGAGTGTTGGTGAGCGTGAGACCAGTGGTTGTATGTGGGATTGAATGATGAAGAGGATGAGGACGAGAATGAAGAATGAGGAAGTCGACAGAGAGAATGGGAATTCGAGTTGGTGTTTTGTGTGAATGAGTTATTTTTGATTATTGGTTTTGTGTTATTGTGCATTGTCTGGTGATTGTGTAGCTGGTTATTTAGTGTGAGTGTGAGTGTGTGTGTGTGTTTGCGGGGTGGGGGATGGGGTTAGTGTTTGAGTGTTGCAGCGTGTGGGAGTGTAAGTGGTCAAATGTACAGCGAGGTCGGCCGAGCAGAGTGGCGCAGTGGAAGCGTGCTGGGCCCATAACCCAGAGGTCCGTGGATCGAAACCACGCTCTGCTAACGGCTTTTGCGAATATCACTTCACACTAGCTCATCTGAGAGGAGAAATCTCTCCGCATTCTCACGCCACTTGCTCACCTCACGTGTCACGCAGTGTCTGTCTGACAGCTTGACGACACACGTGTGTGTGTCTTCAGCGGGGAGCACTGTTCGACGAGTTGAGACTCACTGCAGTCGGTGGGTTCGATGCTCAGCCATTTCAATGACTGACTTGTTCACCGTGTCTGTACATCCTGTCCAACTTCAGTTGACGCTAATAATCGGGATGGCGGTGGTAGGTGATCCGGTGATCAGGTGATCACTGCTTGTCCATGTCTGTCTCTTGTGTGTGTGTGTGTGGCACTGTATGTCTCTGTGTGTTTCTTGGTGCGTGCCTGCGTGCCTGTGTGTGTCTGTGTGTGTGTGTGTGCGTGCGTGCGTGAGTGAATGCATGAGTGCGTTCATGTGCAGGCGAGTGTGAATATCGATGATGTTTTGTTGCAACACATGTTCTTCTTGTTGCAACCTTTATCATGCTCATAATCTGATGACTGGAGTCCTGAGTGTTATGAACAGAATGATCATTGTAATAATTTGCATTGTCGTGTTCCTCATGAAGAGTGGCTGCTTGACAAATCCCTGTTCACGTGTGGTGTTTCTCACGATAACTTCGACTCGTCCATATATCTGACATGCGTTTGACTCGATCTGATGTTGTCTGGTCAGTTGATTGACTGATTGTTTGTCAGTTTGATTGTTCGATTAGTTTTGTCAGCTTGATGTTGGAATTTTGTTGGTTCGGTGTTGATCGGTGGTTGATGGTTGGTGAGGCAGTCGGAGAATGCACATGGCGACGTGGTTAAATTTCGGCATATGTGGGTGATTTCGAACGTGTGAGGTGATAGGCAGAAAGTGTGGAGAATGCGGAGTTATACCCCACTTTCTCCATTTATCCTGCTTTGTGAACCGAATGCAGCCCATGTTTCGTCCCACTTTTCACATGTTCACGAAACAATTCTCCGACTGGCGGAGTGAGTGCTTGGGAGTTGAGACGAGGAGTACTGCACAGATGTTGTACGTGTCTATACTGGCCTGTTTGTGACACACGGTTGATGTGGTGTGTGATTGACTGTCAGCCTGTTGAGTAATCGCAGTTAGATATCAGTGGAGGTTTCTTCCGATCGATGACAGTTGTCATGGCGAGTGTGTGTTGAATTCGATTGGTGGAAATTGTTGTGAGGATGCATTGGATAGGCGAGGAGGCAAGCATGCCATCGGAGTGTGATGACCACGAGATTTCCACTCGACTGTCTTGGAGAAGAGTGTTGGTGAGCGTGAGACCAGTGGTTGTATGTGGGATTGAATGATGAAGAGGATGAGGACGAGAATGAAGAATGAGGAAGTCGACAGAGAGAATGGGAATTCGAGTTGGTGTTTTGTGTGAATGAGTTATTTTTGATTATTGGTTTTGTGTTATTGTGCATTGTCTGGTGATTGTGTAGCTGGTTATTTAGTGTGAGTGTGAGTGTGTGTGTGTGTGTTTGCGGGGTGGGGGATGGGGTTAGTGTTTGAGTGTTGCAGCGTGTGGGAGTGTAAGTGGTCAAATGTACAGCGAGGTCGGCCGAGCAGAGTGGCGCAGTGGAAGCGTGCTGGGCCCATAACCCAGAGGTCCGTGGATCGAAACCACGCTCTGCTAACGGCTTTTGCGAATATCACTTCACACTAGCTCATCTGAGAGGAGAAATCTCTCCGCATTCTCACGCCACTTGCTCACCTCACGTGTCACGCAGTGTCTGTCTGACAGCTTGACGACACACGTGTGTGTGTCTTCAGCGGGGAGCACTGTTCGACGAGTTGAGACTCACTGCAGTCGGTGGGTTCGATGCTCAGCCATTTCAATGACTGACTTGTTCACCGTGTCTGTACATCCTGTCCAACTTCAGTTGACGCTAATAATCGGGATGGCGGTGGTAGGTGATCCGGTGATCAGGTGATCACTGCTTGTCCATGTCTGTCTCTGTGTGTGTGTGTGTGTGGCACTGTATGTCTCTGTGTGTTTCTTGGTGCGTGCCTGCGTGCCTGTGTGTGTCTGTGTGTGTGTGTGTGTGCGTGCGTGCGTGAGTGAATGCATGAGTGCGTTCATGTGCAGGCGAGTGTGAATATCGATGATGTTTTGTTGCAACACATGTTCTTCTTGTTGCAACCTTTATCATGCTCATAATCTGATGACTGGAGTCCTGAGTGTTATGAACAGAATGATCATTGTAATAATTTGCATTGTCGTGTTCCTCATGAAGAGTGGCTGCTTGACAAATCCCTGTTCACGTGTGGTGTTTCTCACGATAACTTCGACTCGTCCATATATCTGACATGCGTTTGACTCGATCTGATGTTGTCTGGTCAGTTGATTGACTGATTGTTTGTCAGTTTGATTGTTCGATTAGTTTTGTCAGCTTGATGTTGGAATTTTGTTGGTTCGGTGTTGATCGGTGGTTGATGGTTGGTGAGGCATTCGGAGAATGCACATGGCGACGTGGTTAAATTTCGGCATATGTGGGCGATTTCGAACGTGTGAGGTGATAGGCAGAAAGTGTGGAGAATGCGGAGTTATACCCCACTTTCTCCATTTATCCTGCTTTGTGAACCGAATGCAGCCCATGTTTCGTCCCACTTTTCACATGTTCACGAAACAATTCTCCGACTGGCGGAGTGAGTGCTTGGGAGTTGAGACGAGGAGTACTGCACAGATGTTGTACGTGTCTATACTGGCCTGTTTGTGACACACGGTTGATGTGGTGTGTGATTGACTGTCAGCCTGTTGAGTAATCGCAGTTAGATATCAGTGGAGGTTTCTTCCGATCGATGACAGTTGTCATGGCGAGTGTGTGTTGAATTCGATTGGTGGAAATTGTTGTGAGGATGCATTGGATAGGCGAGGAGGCAAGCATGCCGTCGGAGTGTGATGACCACGAGATTTCCACTCGACTGTCTTGGAGAAGAGTGTTGGTGAGCGTGAGACCAGTGGTTGTATGTGGGATTGAATGATGAAGAGGATGAGGACGAGAATGAAGAATGAGGAAGTCGACAGAGAGAATGGGAATTCGAGTTGGTGTTTTGTGTGAATGAGTTATTTTTGATTATTGGTTTTGTGTTATTGTGCATTGTCTGGTGATTGTGTAGCTGGTTATTTAGTGTGAGTGTGAGTGTGTGTGTGTGTGTTTGCGGTGTGGGGGATGGGGTTAGTGTTTGAGTGTTGCAGCGTGTGGGAGTGTAAGTGGTCAAATGTACAGCGAGGTCGGCCGAGCAGAGTGGCGCAGTGGAAGCGTGCTGGGCCCATAACCCAGAGGTCCGTGGATCGAAACCACGCTCTGCTAACGGCTTTTGCGAATATCACTTCACACTAGCTCATCTGAGAGGAGAAATCTCTCCGCATTCTCACGCC